CAATAGCGTACGCTGGACTGGCATGGAAGGCGTTTGAATAAAATTGATCCATTGATGGTTTTTTTTCTGTGACTCACATTTGACGGTGAAAAGTATAATTCCTCAAGAAGTAATTTGATGATTGAATATTGATTGCAACTTCGGATCAGTTGAATGAAGCCGAAATTGAAACGTATGTCCCTATGTCACAAATCAATAATTGTATATATCATCAGTATATCTATCGAGTGACAGAACAAATACGGGTTTTTGTGGAACCATATAGAACTTACAGAACTTTTTCAATGAACTCCGTAATCCAGCCGGCCATCTGTCTTCGTCCAAATCACCATCTTCAAATACCAAGGTATGCTGTTTCCTTGGTTGTCGCATCGGTGAATATTTGCGTTTCTTCATCCGCGTCAGCGGTGATTGTTCCGGTCTAAAGCGATGGATATCAGACAACAGGTTGTGAGGCGTAGGTGCGGGACTGGAATCGGGTCGCAGAGAAGTTCGACTCTTTCCCGTATCGTCCAGCCGAGTACGCGATCGGGAGTGTAAAGAGTTCTGACTGGATGTGAGCCAGTGCGAGGTCCGTTCCGGCCCAGGTGTATATCGTCCCGTGCCCGAATCCGCATCCGGTTTGTGCAGACGAGACATGCTCGGCTGCTTTCTTTGCAAACTCGGGCTTTCACTCGGGTGCGAGGCTCGTCGTACTCGACGAGATGTGGACTTCTGTTTCGGTGTGGGCGGAGGGCGCTGAATCAATAATGGGTCGTGCATAGGGTCATTCACGGATTGGCCTCCGTACGTTTGAGGTCGTGCGGTTTGCCAATCGGGGGCATTGGAATTGTATGGTAAAAGAAGACCGGGATGATTGTCTGTAGTGTTTGCTCCTACCAGCAGACTGGTATGGGTCACACCGTTGTTTTTATTTAACGCGCGAACCGATGTTCGTGGGTTTCCAACTAATCCCGAATGATGATTAGATTCCACTGGCGAGTGCCGTGTATCCAAGTAATTGTCACGCTGATTAGAACGGTATTCACCCACAGTGAAGCCGTTCACAGTCTGATCGGTGTACGGGATGAAACCATTGGTACCGGTCACTTTCAGTTTACCCTCACGTTGACGGGATCGAACCCAGAGCACGAGGAAAATGACACCCAGGAGGAGAACAATAACGAGAACGGATAGAATGATAACAGCTGTGGTTAACTGATTCAGAGACATCTCTTTCTTTTCCTCTGTAGCTGGAAAATCATTTGAATTTTGATCATTTTCTGCCAAGCCCCATGATCCCGAGATGGAATAAGAAGCCGCCGGTGTTGATTCCTGATCCATGGGTTTCTCGGTTGAAATATGAATGTATTTATTTCCTTGATGATCTTTTGGTGCAATAACTTCCAGAGCATCTTTCCTCAACTGCACAGTCGGTGGTAGAGAGATCTTCGAAATCGGTGCTGCTGGTGTAGTGGTGCGAGGTGTTGTGTTGCTTGTGGTTTTCTTCGTGCTAGTTGTTGTTGTTGTTGTTGTTGTGGTGGTGGTGGTGGTGGTAGATGATGGCCCGGTGGTCGTTGTGAGATCGCTTCCTTTCAAATGAAGCCCATTCGAGTCTACTCGTTCTGATGATCCAGTTTGTATTTCTCTTTGAGGCAGAACAAATTCCAGAGTCTCGCCAATACGATGCGGTTGATATGCCCCCGGTTGCCAACATGATTTCTCATAATCCAACTTTAAATCATCCAGAGGATCTAATGGGCTCGGTTCGATCTGACACTGGTTCTCATATAAGATTTGATTATCCGCTCGTACTCGAGCTGCAGGCGATGGGGCTCCGNGGACAATGTGGTCATATCGAGTTTCGGCAGTTTGGGCATCAGGAATGAGGATGGCATATACGAATGTTGTTTGGACGGATCCTCTTTATCACAAATGGGATATTTGCTGAGCCAAGTTCGACACACATATAAATCATGACAATGATTAAATCGAACTTGCCAACTTTTCCACGGCAACCAGAGACGTCGAAAAGATGGGTTTCGATTTGCATGGTCACAGAAAACGGTGAGACGAAAATATGGCGGTACTTGAGTTCGCATAGGAGACACAGTATAGCTCGAATCGGTCGGACTGACGGATTTAGGAATCAGACTATCCTCGTCCCATTCGAACGGATTCCATAAACTAAGCCGTGTCACGTGAGAATGTGCGGACAAGTCGCCCAGATCGATACGGCGTAGTCTATTTATATAAATGAAAGACAATGTGAGATGAACAGGACTTTTTTGCATGTTTAACGTCAGTCGTAATGTTTGAATTAACCAACCAAGCAGTCCGGGAGTGAGCTCATCAATTTGTAATCGTCGTTCAGAATGTGCATTTACCTCATCGTCCGTTCGACTAGTCACAGGTTGTGCATTTGGACTGAGAATAATTTTCAGATCGAAACCGCGACCATCACTTGTGCTCGGTCCGATCAAATCCAGCCCGGCACCTGGTACACCAGTTTGAGTGGTAGGATTTTTCCAATAGCGACATTTGACTTGATCAATTATGGGGTACGTTTTCAGTTCTGTCGTCCCGGATTTACATTCCAGCTGTACACGTCCTGAGGTCTGATTTCGAAATGTGAAACAATGTATTTGAGGACAGTTAGTATTATGTAGATCTCTCGGTCCCAGCGGGGATACAAACTGATTTTGTCTCGGGTTGGATTGAACATGTGGATAGACGGGCCACGTCTCATAGCCCGAAAACGAACGTTCATTATGATTAGTATTTATAGTATTCGTTCTCTGATCTCTTGCAGATGGAAGATTTCGCGGTTCCGACTCCAATTCCGATTGAGAAGGTAGAAGTAAACTGTCCAACAGTTCTGGTGATTTTTCCGGTTCCGCAACTCCAATGAAATACAAATTGTGTGTAAACAACACGAACAGTATTATTCTCAAATGACAAGCACACTGGATTGCGTAAACCATTGTGAGTAAATTGGAGCCCGTGGGACGAATCAGGAATGGTTAGTAGTCACATTCAGATGAAGTGGTCATGGAACAAATCAGGATGGAAGAATCGTGCGAAACAAATCCACGTCCGCGCTTCAATCGGTGCATTTTAACCCAATGCGAGAGAACAGGTGCAGCAAAGCGAAACAACAAATCAAACTCCACCTCAATTTAGTCACCAATTTCACAAACTCATTAATGCGGTGATTCCATTCCGTGTGATTATAAGCTAGCCCACTTCACCGCTAAAACAACTAAACTGAATCANAACCAGTGAGCTTCCGATATACACCGATCACGTGAGTGGGCGTTCACCAACACATCAACAATAACAACAACAACAAATCCGATTTCAAATAGACCTGTTGAAGTGCGGTGTAATCTAGCCGGTGCGTGGATTGGTCAAATGCGAATCAGGTGTTTAACCAATCAGAGCAGAGAAAGCTACACGATTTTTATTGGTCTATGTATTGGTCTTTCGGCATGGTGTCACTGATGAGTTGCTCTTTACAGAGACAGTTGTATGAGACAATAAAATTTGAGTTTAAATGAAACCTAAACAAACTGTTTATGAGAATAATCAACGTGAAAAACAAATTAACTGGGTGGTCCCGTTAAAAATGAACAATATTTCTGGAAATTTTCGAAAGATATGAATTATTAGGCCGACAGTTATACAAGTAATTTGAACACAAAGGTGCCAATGCATCAGTGCATAAAACGCGCATTTCAAAATGTGAAAAGTTGTTCAGGCCATTCCGGCAGTTATCTATCCGCATGAAAGAATACCATCCCCGCTGG